GACCCCCAAAAACCTCACCGCCCACCCCCCCAACCCCCCCCCGCCCCCACCCAGCCCCCACAAACCCACCCAGGTTCTCCTTCAGCAGCCACGTCAGCACCGAGTCCCGGTACGGGATGAAATCTGGCTTCTTCTTCTTGCTGGTCTGTTGGGGTGGGGAGGATGGAAAAGGGGAGTCATGTGTGCTCCCCCCAAAATGAGGGGACCCCGGAGTTGTGGGGAGACACAACGGGATGTGGGGAGGGGGGTGAGACCCCCTGGCCCCCCAGACTCACGGCCTCGGCCAGGGCGGAGATGACCTTGCCCAGAGTGGTCAGAGACTTGTTGATGTTGGCACCTTCCTGGGGAGGGGGAGAAGGGGGAGGAAGGCTCAGACAGGCGGGGGGGCACCCCCTCTTTCTGGGGGGTTCTGGGGGTCCCCCTCACCTTGAGGCGGATGCCCTTGGCCCCCGAGGCATCGGCGCGTTCGCTGCCCGCCAGGTCCACCAGGCTGATGCGGCTCACCTGGGGGGGCAGGGGGGGTTGGGGGGGTCTGGGGGAGATTTGGGGGGGGGGAAATGTGGGGATGAGGGGATTTCGAGGGGTTTCAGGGGATTTCAGGGGATTGGGGGATTGCAGGGGTGGTTTGAGGGAGCAAAGTGAATTGGGTGGGATTTGGGAGGAGTCTGGGAGGGATGCAGGGGGAATTTGGGGACATTTGCAGGGGACTTGGGGGAAATTTGGGGATATTTCATGGTGAGTTCGGGGATATGGGGGAATTCAGCAGGGATTTTGGGGTAACTCGGGGGATTGGGGTGGCTCAGGGGAACTTTGGGGGGTCTGGGGTGGATTTTGGGTGGTGACTCTGGGGGGTCTCAGGGCGATTTTGGGGCAGCCCTGACCTTCTCCGTGGTGAGGTCGCTGAGCGGGTCTCGGCGGCGCTGGCTGAACACGATGGTGAACACGGCGTGCGAGCGGCTGCTCGTCTCGTTCATGTTCGTGGCCGCCACTGTCCTGGGGAGGGATTTTGGGGGGACCCTCAGTGTCCGGGTGGGGTTTGGGGGATCCCTCAGTGTCTGTGGGGCCTGGGGGTGCCCCCCTGCCCCCACCTGGCCTTGTTGCCGCTGTCCATGAGGTCGGCGATGTCGGCGAAGGAGGCGACGGCGAGGCGGGACAGGTCCTGCACGTAGGGCCCGAGCAGGGGGTGCTCCCGCACCCGCAGCCCCCCCCGGCTCTTGGGGTTCAGCAGGTCCCGCACACGCTCACAGTAGATCTCCAGGTAGCTCACCTGGGGGGTCCCAACATGCCCAGGGTTGGGGGGTGAACCCCCGAAAGGTTGAGGGGAGGAACCCCCAGACTGAGGGTGAGTTGGAAGGTGAGCCCCCAGACTGCTGGGGCAGGGGGACAGCTGAGCCCCCAAAACGTTAGGGTAGGGGGCAGATGAACCTCCAAACTGCTGGGGTGTGTGTGGGGGGAGTCTGCAAGGAAGGGGGTTCAGGATGAACCCCCAAATTACCCACGGGGCATCTGCAAGCCAGGGAGCCCCCTCAACCCCCAAAGCCCCCTCACCTCCACGGAGAAGGAGAGCTCGGGGGACCCCTCCTGAACCCCCAAAGCCCCCTCACCTCCACGGAGAAGGGAGAGCTCAGGGGACCCCTCCTGAACCCCCAAAGCCCCCTCACCTCCACAGAGGAGAGCTCGGGGGACCCCTCCTGAACCCCCAAAGCCCCCTCACCTCCACGGAGAAGGAGAGCTCGGGGGACCCCTCCTGAACCCCCAAAGCCCCCTCACCTCCACGGAGAAGGAGAGCTCGGGGGACCCCTCCCGTGCCCCCAAAGCCCCCTCACCTCCAC